ATGCGGCAAAATATAGTACTATATTATAGCTATAAGAATATATACTACATAAGATAAGATTTTTATATACGAACCATTCCCTGCTGACGATAGCAACCTGAGCTGATTCAGCTGGCTGAAAATATCTCAATATAATGTCTGTCTATATGTTTAAAAACCAGAAATATCAAACATTAATATGCTAACTAAACAGTATAAACATATTCTCAATATTTCAGGCTCCGTGGAATTAGTTGAATATCTGATCACCAATGGTGCAAATATAAAAGCCACAACTGTCGAAAATAATACAGCTTTATATTTGGCTGCTGAAAAAGGCAATTTTCATTCGATTAATTTAGAAAAAAGTTTGTTTCATAAGAACTTCGAACATTTCACAGGTAACATGCAGATTGTCAAAAATCTTATCGAACATGGAGCTGATGTGAATTCTAGAGATAAGAATCACAATACACCACTACACTTGGCATCTCTATGCGGTAATTGTCTATATGTTTGAAAACTGAAAATATCAAGCCAAAGTAGTTTAATATTTCAGGCACACTCGAAATGATTGAGTTTTTAATCACTCATGGTGCAAAGGTAAATGTCGAAGATAATCGTAAATGGACGCCACTCCATAAGGCTGCTCAACGTGGTAATTATTGATTATATTGCCTATATATAGGTTTTGAAAATGGAAATAAACATGGTCGGATCGCTAACTATTAATCTGCACAACATTTCAGGCAATTTTGAAATTTTTAAATATTTAGTTGAACATGGAGCAAATATAAATGCTACAACTATCGACAATGATACTCCTTTATTTTTGGCTACTGAAAATGGTAATTTTCAATCGATTCATTTAGAAGATAAGTTGTTTCATAAGAACTCTGTACATTTTACAGGTCACGTGGAGATTCTCAAATATCTTGTCGAAAATGGAGCGGATGTGAATTCTGTAGACAAACATAATTATACACTACTTTACTGGGCTACTGCTTTAGATGGTAATTGTCTATATGTTTAAAAACCAGAAATATAAAGCATTAATAACTATGCTAACTGTTCATCTTCTCAATATTTCAGACTCATTGAAATTATTCGAATATCTGATCACCAATGGTGCAAATATAAATGGCACAACATTGTCTTTGGCTGCTCGGAATGGTAATTTTCATTCAATTCATATTTCAAAAAATGTTATTTTATAAGAACTTCGTACATTTTACAGGTGACATGCCGATTGTCAAACGTCTTATCGAACATGGAGCTGATGTGAATTTTAGAGATGAAAATAATGATACACTACTACACGTGGCAGCTGAATATGGCAATTGTGTATATGTTTGAAAACTGAAATGGTGTTTAATGTTTCTTTGTTTAATTTTTCAGGTAGACTCGAAATTATTGAGTTTTTAATAACTCATGGCGCAAAGGTAAATGCCGAAGATGATCGTAAATGGACGCCACTCCATAAGGTTGCGCGACATGGTGATTATTGATTATATAGTTATTGAAATGTTCAGATCGCTAACTATCTATTTCTACAACATTTCAGACAAATTTGAAATTATTAAATATTTAGTTGAACATGGAGCTAATATAAATGCTACAACTAACAAAAATGATACTCCATTGTCTTTGGCTGTTCAGAATGGTAATTTTCAATCGACTAATTTAGAAGAAAGGTTGTTTCATAACAACTTCGTACATCTCACAGGTAAAATGCAGATTGTCAAATATCTTGTTGAACATGGAGCTGATGTGAATTCTGTAGACAAACATAATTTTACACCACTTTACTGGGCATCACTAGATGGTAATTGTCTATATGTTTAAGACAGAGTATCCTTATTTGCTGCTGCTCAGCATATAACTGAGAGCTGAGTAATGCTGAACTCGTACGGCTAACGCATACGAAACGGTTGCTCGATACATATTCCCCTTTCGCTTCGTATGTGCTACCGTTGACGCTATTGCCGCTGCTGTTTCACTTACGCGTAAAACACGAAGGCATCAACGGTACCACATTATAACAGCGAACATACGAAGTGAAAGCAAGAGATGAGATGCGACGTGCTGTTTTTGCTCTCAGTCTCTCATATATTCTCCTTCACTTCGTATGTTAGCTGGTATAGTGTGTTACCGTTGATGGCGTTGTATTTTACGCGTAAGTGAAACAGCAGCGGCAATAGCGTCAACGGCAGCACATATGAAGCGAAAGGGGAATATGTATCGTGCATCTGTTTCGTATGCGTTAGCCGTAGGAGTTCAGCATTACTCACCTCTCAGTTATATGCTAAGCAGCAGCAAATAATGATACTCTGGTTTAAGAACCAGAAATATCAACCATAAATAACTATGCTAACTGTTTATCTTCTCAATATTTCAGGCTCATTGAAATTATTCGAATATCTGATCACCGAAGGTGCAAATATGTATGCTACAACTTTATCTTTGGCTGTTCAGAATGGTAATTTTCAATCGATTCATTTAGAAGAAAATTTGTTTCATAAGAACTTCGTACATTTTACAGGTAACATGCCGATTGTCAAACGTCTTATCGAACGTGGTGCTGATGTAAATTTTAGAGTAGGAAATCATGCTACACTACTACACGTGGCAGCTCGATATGGTATTTGTCTATATGTTTGAAAACTGAAAATATCACGCGCGAATGGTATGGTGCTGAATATTTCTTTGCTTAATATTACAGGTAGACGCGAAATTATTGAGTTTTTAATCACTCGTGGTGCAAAGGTGAATGCCGAAGATAATGATAAATGGACGCCACTCCATAACGCCGCTCAATATGGTAATTATTGATTTGTTTTGAAAATCAAAATAACGTGATAGGATCGCTAATTATTAATCTGCACAACATTTCAGGCAAATTTGAAATTTTTAAATATTTAGTTGAACATGGAGCAAATATGAATGCTACAACTGTCCACAAGTATACAACTTTGTCTTTGGCTGCTCAGAGTGGTAATTTTCAATCGACTAATTTAGAAAAAAGAGTTGTTTCATAAGAACTTCGTATATTTTACAGGTAACGTGCAGATTGTAAAATATCTTGTCGAACGCGGAGCTGATGTGAATTCTAGAGACAAAAATAATACCACACCACTTCACTGGGCATCTCAAGATGGTAATTGTCTATATATTTGGAAACTGAAAATAGCAAGCGTGAATGGTATGATCGCTAAAGTAGTTGAGCTGAATATTTCTTCGCTTAATATTTCAGGTACACTCGAAATGATTGAGCTATTAATCACTCACGGTGCAAAGGTAAATGCTGAAGATAATACTAAATGGACGCCACTCCATAAGGCTACCCTATATGGTAATTATTCACAGAGAGAAATATTTGTGTTAACAGAGCGTCTACCCATTAAAATGTGTTACTTACTCTATTTTTGGTGTTAATTTCATCCAAGTGAACGCATCATAGTGAAAGAAGAGATACATTTGTAGTCATATATACGTTGCCCTAGGGGGTAGACACAAACTAGAAAACTAATAAAACTAAGAAAAATTGACAATACTAAAGCCCGTGTCTCCTCCCTAGACGTTGCCACATGCGTACACAGTCTCATATGCACATAACGAAACACAACTCGTTGAACGCATGCGGCTATGGCTACACATGTATCTCTTCTTTGGCTCACTGTCAATGGTCCCCCAAATTATCCATTATCCAACATCCATTCATCCATGGATAGATTTTGTTTTTAAAAGGACTGAATGAGTAATATTCATCGATGTTTTTTTAATGGATAAGTTACATCCACCATCCATCATAAATTTATTAATGAAGAAAAGAAAGAA